TCTAGCATGAAACTCTGTGCATATGTACATGTGTGCACAATACTTTACCTAACACAGTCTATCCTGCTGGTTTGGTCCACTTAATAACAAATTCAACTCATCTGTGTCTTGTTATCTGGTGTTCTTTTCCCTCCCTGAGATTATGTTATTATCAAAAATAGAAGTTACCTTGCTTCAAAATGCGTTCTCCCTTTTTGTGAGAGATTTTCTAACATTGAAATGTAAATTTTAATTTCTTACATGTAAATGTCTCAGCACTAGAGAATTTTTCTTTTCTTTGTTAAACTCATACTTTTCAACCAAAATGGAGAGTGAAAAGATTTAATGTTCCAAAATATTGTTTTTAAGTTTTCCACTGAAGCAAAATGACTGCTGTTTTTTTCTTGCTTATGCATTCTATATGCCATATTTTTCCTATGTTTCAGTAAAACAGACAAACAAACATCAAACAAAACCCTGAAAAAAATAGTATTTCTAGCTTTATGAAAAAGTATTTAAAACTTTTACTCTCTTCAGATGTATTACTCTGAGTTGATATTCTAAGAAAAAGGCCGCTGGAGACAGTTTTTAACTGAATAAGTCATAACTTTTTCTGAGAAAAATAAGCTTTAGCAAACAATTTTCAATAGGCCCTTGAGTCTGTAAATAAAGATGTGATCTACAGCAAGAATTCCTAGACCCAGATTAAAATATACAGGGTCTTACAGAACCACAGAATCATAAAATGCCTTGGGAAGGGACCTTAAATATCATCTGGTTCCAGCTCTCCTGCCATGGGCAGGGACACCTTTTACTAGTTCAGGTTGCTCAGAGCCCCATGTAACCTAGCCTCGAGCCAGGCACCCAAAACTTCTCTGGGCAACCTGTCCCAAAGCTGTATTACCCTCTGAATAAAGAATTTCCTCCTGAAATTAACTCTAAACCATCCCTCTCTCTGTTTAAATACATTGCTTGTTTCCTGTAACTCTCTGCCCCTATGAGATGTCCCTCTCCTGTTTTATAAGGCACTTTATGGTGCTGAAAGACCACAATGAAGTCTGCCTGGAGCCATTTTTCTCCACACTAAACAGTCTCAGGTCTCTCAGCCTATCATTATAGGAGAGCTGCTCCAGCCTGCTGATCATCTCCATGGTCCTCCTCTGGACATGCTCCATCCATCCATCCATCCATCCATCCATCCATCCATCCATCCATCCATTTCCTTGTCCACTGAATTATCCATCAATCAGCTCTGTATTTGGAGATGAGGATATCATATGGGATCGTACTGAAGGCCTTAAAAAAGTCTAGAAAGCCACCAAATCGGTCAGGCAGGATGTGCCCTTAGTAAAGGGCTATGCTGGCTGCCTCAGATTGCCTCCTTGTCTTTCTTGTGCCTTAGCACATCTTTTGGTAGGGTCTGCTCCATGATCTTGCCAGGTTGGTGAGGCTCACCAGTCTGTAGTTCATTGTGCCCTCCTTTATCCACTTTTTAAACATGGGAGCAATGTTTCTCTTTTTCCAGTCACAGGGAGCTTCACTTGACTGCCATGGCTTTTCAACTGTGGTAGAAAATGTCTTGGTTACAACACCAGCTAGTTCTCTCAGGACCCTGCTACATAAGATGGTGTCTATAAATGCTTTGATATGGAAAATTACTGTACAACTTGCACCGTGTCTTTTTCACTCCATAGTTTTCCAGTCTACAGATTGAATCAACAGCCTCTTATTATATATTTTGTTCATGTTTTATGTAGGGTAATTTATGTTTATGTAGAGGATTCACCTACTTGTTAAGAAGCTTGCCCTGAGGAAGAAGATGTTGATAAAGAAATACCAATTTCTGAATCGCTGTTATCAAGATTATTCCTTTTACTTACATTTTTTTCCTGTTATCACATCTCTCTTGCATATTCACTGGAAACCTTGAAAACTCATGTTCCAGAGACACCGAAAATAGTTACTACTTTTCATCTCTTCTGGCTGTATATTAGAATAGCATCAGCAATTCTTTTCCATTTGGCCTCTGTCCTTATCTGCTTAACATTCTGTAAAATTTTACATAACTTTTCTATTTTTGTTGTGGATGCTCAGACAACAGGGATCTAGTTGAAAAACACTTCTAAAAAATTCCCCAAATTTTTAACTTCTGCCTGTGTTTAGTGGTGTACTGCCTCAGGATGTGTGCATCTGGTCTCTCTTTCAACTATTTTTTGGTTCTATGACTGAACAACTGGTTACTTATTTCTACAGGATTCAGTACAGAAAGAGGAAAAAAAATCTCCTTTTTTTTTTTTTTTAACAAATAAACATGATGTAGTTCAACAGCAGTTTTGCATATCAATACTTATTAGCTGTAGATATAATCCTATATAATACCCATTAGGTCTTCAGCTTGTCCAGAATAGGTTTTTCCATATATTTTTTAGAATATTATATTTTTCAGATCTGCTTTAAAAGGTCTCTTGTGCTAAGGTCTGTAATGACAATCTAGAGTGTAAGGACAGCCTTTAGATGCTGCTGCTGCTCAAGTGCATAGAGAAAACAAGTAACAAAGTGTTTTGCATGAGCAGTGTTCCCAAACAGCCAATCCTGTGCAGTTGGTATCCTATAAGTAGCCAGTCGTTATTGTTTTCCGGTAACACATATGGGAGAAAATTCACATTCCCAAACAAATGGAAGAATCCTAAACCCCTTCGCACAAAATATATTTCCAAAGTGTTGATTAACCAGTCAAAATACTTTGCACAAGCTTCTGTGTGAATATGCTTAACAAATTTCTGATATCTTAAAAAAAAAAAAAAAAAAAAAGAAAAAAAGAAAAATAAAAAGAAAAAGGCTGGATTTTATGACCAGCTTCTCTTATGTTACAGCTGCTAAAATACAGAAATTCCTAGTAGTTCTCTGCAGGTGATGTTACATTTAGAGGAATTTATATGAGAAATATGTTAATTTTAAGAAAGGATCAAAACTCAGTTCCTGGTATATGCTTAGGCTATGAGAATGGTCTGAAGATTTGTGAAATTTTTCATCCCCTATCTTTTTTTTACTCTCTATGTTATTTTTCACCTCTCCAGTCTGTTGGTTCATCAATAGAGCTGAGGAGTTTGCCCCACTCAGAACTGTGTTTCATACTGAGCTGCTGTTATAGGATGATAAACAGAGATCATGAAAACAGGGTCATGTGCATGAGTTTATACTGTTAAGCTGCTTCCAGCAATTCAAAATAAATCTGCACTTCCATACGAACAACAATGCATCTAACTTTATGAAGTATGTAAATAGAGTAGTAATCAGTAGATGCAAAAATCAAGAGTTTTTGTGAAACTGATGCCAGTACACTACATATACCTCTTATATCAATATCAACACCTACAAAGAAATGAGAAATATAAATGTGGGAAGATACTTGTTAATTACTTGAAGGTGAGGGAAGCACCCTGGTAAAACTCAATTCTTGTTTAGCTTACTAAGAAATAAAAATAAATTATTTTTATAGGAAAATATAATTTTTTGTATAAATGGAATAGAAACAGAATATATTTGGTCTACTAAAGCTCATAAATACAATAAGGAAAGACAATGCATTCCTGGTCTGTAGGTAACTGGGTCCCTTCCAAACTTCAGAGCATATAATAAACCACAGTGTACAGACATAGTTACAAAGTAACAAATGAATTAATATCCTGAGGCTTGAATAAATTTGTCTATCTGTTTAATAGCCTTTACCAGAGCAATTGATAGGGAAGAATTGGAGGGTAGAAAAAGAAATGAACACACTATTGAAAAGGATGTAGATAACAGGAAAATAGAGCAACATGACAGTAATGACTTCCCCTTGATTAATTAACAATATTCTTGGTTTACTAGTAAGAATTTGTGTTTGAAATGCATGAAGAATGTTTTAAGTGATTCATTATGCCAGGCTTTCTCTCTGTAGTCCTCTCTCCTTTCTTGAAAGGATGCTGAATGGGTCACTAACCCTTACTACAAACAAGTCAGACAGACCAACAGTGTAGCTTCAGTTCAAGGTTTTAATCTAAAAACCTAACATCTGTCTTATATGCTGTCAAAACCAGCTAAATATTATAACCTTCCATTATGGTAGCTAGGTGTTAGTGGTGATGATATCCAGAAAAAGTGTGTGTGGTGGGTTGATGGATGCCAGGCACCCACCAAAGCTGTTCTACCACTCCCCTCCATGTTCTATCACAGTCAGACAGAGGAAAGAAAATATACCAAAAAGTTCCTGAGTTGAGATTAGGACAGAGAAAGATAATTCATCAGAGACTTTCAAGGACAAAACAGGCACGAATGAGGGATATGACTGAATTTATTACCAATAAAATCAGAGCAGGATAAAAAGAAATAATATAAGACCACAAGAAGCACCTCCCCCCACATCCTAACCTCCTTCCCAGCTTTACCTCCTTCCCCCCAGCAGTGCATGGAGACAGGGAATGGGGGTTAGGGTCAGTTCATCACATGTTGTTTCTCCCACTGCTCGGGGAGAGGAGTCCTTCCCCTGCTCCAGCGTGGGGTCCCTCCCACAGGAGACAGTTTTCCATGAACTTCTCCAGTGTGAGTCCATGCCATGGCAGCAGTCCTCCACAAACTGCTGCAGGGTGGGTCACTCTTGCACGGGGTGCAGTCCTCCAAGGACAGGCTGCTCCAGCGTGGGGCCCCCGTGGGATCACAAGTCCTGCCAGGAAATCTGCTCCGGTGTGGGCTCCTCTCTCCCCAGGTCTGCAGCTCCCTGCCTGGAGCCTGCTCCAGCACAGGCCTCCCACGGGGTCACAGCCTCCTCTCAGGAATTCCCTTGCTCTGGATTGGGTCTCCTCTTCGGGTGGATCTCTGCACCCCTGTGATCCTCCACGGGCTGCAGCTGCTTCACCATGGTCTGCACCACGGGCTGCAGGGGAATCTGAGCTCCAGCAGCTGCTGGAGCATCTCCTGTCCCTCCTTCTGCACTGACCTTGGTGTCTGCAGGGTTGTTCCTGTCACATGTTCTCTCTCTGCTCTTCTGTGGCCACAAGTACATCTGTGCAATTACTTTTTTTTCCTTCCTAAAAACATTATTACAGAGGCATTACAACCATCTCTCAGTGGCCCAGCCTTGGCTAGCAGTGCATCCCTCTTGGAGCCAACAGTGATTGGCTCTGCGCGACATACAGGAAGCACCCCTGTAAACACCCCCTGCTACCAGAACCTGGCCATACAAACTCAATAAGATATGTTAAACAGAAACTCACAAAAATGTGAGTTAATGCAATTTAATGCATTATTGTAAACTGCAATTCTGGGTGAAAAAAAAAAAATCAGAAAAAATACTGTTGTTTTTAACTAAGTGGTTTCTTGGTATGATTTAGTATGACACAATTGCTTAAGACTGTTGGTTTTCACTGAATTTCTTCAAACAAGCAGAGAGCTTAGGGTAATGACTGAGATATTCTTAATGTTTAAACCGCATTTTCTTTTATCTGTGGTTCACATTAGTTATGCAGCATTCATTATCTGAGGGAACTTCACTGTGTTTGAAATAAATAAAAAAACTAAAAATAAAGGCTAACTTTCACAAAAACAAATTTAAATATTTGAATTTCAGCTCTGATTTTTTTTTTTTAATTTTTAAACTAGTTCCTCCTCGCTTACACTTGGCATTTTTTAGTGTTCTTCGAAGTGGAAGGTTCCCACTTGTGTAGTTTGAAAAGAGAATATAGTATAAAGACCTTTCCAACATATTCAGTCACATAAAGAATTTTATTTGCTATTACAGAGACAACCAGCATTTCACCTCCACAATCCCTGTATTGAAAATTTACCTTAGTTCATCCATTTTCTGTGATGACATATGTATGTTCATATGTATGTACATAGAAACCTATGAAGAACAAGGCATTCATATTAATGATAAGTATTTTAAAAGTTTTTAATGGCTGCTTTAGCCCTATGTACACCTGTAGAATGTTCTTCAACTGTGTTTGGGTACTTGCAACTGCATGCTAAAAGAGCACAGTGAAAAAGAAGTGTTACCTCATTGAAAATCTCTGTCTAGCTGGCACAAAAGTACTTTTACTTTCCATTTTCTATTACAGAAAACGTTCCTAATGTCATGCATTACTAGCACACCTCTGGATTCCCTGCATGTTTTCATTTTACAAGAGAAGCTGCATTGTTCTTTCTTTTTTTTATATAACTACAGAACAAGATTAATTTCTTTTGCAGAAAGTACCATAAAAATAGTTGAGTAACCTTTGAAATATGTCAAACAGCTCCTTCAGATAGCATGAGTGAAGTATATCATGTAAGTCTCTTACAGGCATTTAGCTAGAGGTACAGAAGACAAGCTGATAGATGACAATGACAAATTCTCTGTGACAAATGTCTGTAGTTTTTTTTTTCATGTACAACTAGGAAGGCTTTGTCTTACTTTTGGCTCTTCACCAATTTTGAGCAATTTGCACCAGGCCAAGATAGATACCTGCCCTGAGAAAGGGTAGCATAGCATTCAGGAAAACTGAGAAGAATCTTGATGATACGGAGGGAAATGCTGTTTGCATTTGGATGTGTTCAATATGTTGCTTCATTTTTTCATTTTTTCTCAGAAAGGACCTTTTAATGGATTTTTGTTTACCTCATCCTTAATAGCTTGAACTCAATGCATCCTAAAGTGATTTGTGGAAAGGTAAATTTGGCTCATAAAGTTTGAAGGTAGAGAGACACCAACAGAGAGGAGAAAAATAATGCCCAGAGTTTTCGCCTGTTTCAATGGCTGCACTAAGTTTTCTGCGAGAGCCTATATCACAGTATCTGTTGGTCTAATTATTCAAACTTTATTGTCTATTTCTTTGAAAGATTTTTAAGTTTTCCCATGCATCTTAAAATCGGAATTCATATTTAACTGCATGGATAATAAAAAGTAAAAATCCACAGTTTGGCCCATTACCAGCTGATGTCCAAATTTTCATCTACCAGCACTCACAAGTCCTTCTTGGTAGGGCTGTTCTTTCCCTGAATTGATACTGAGGATAACTGTGACAAGCTGCAACATCTTGCCCTTACCCTTATTAAACCCCATGAGATTCCCACTCCTTCAGCTTGTCCAGGTCCCTCTGGATGACATCCTGTCCCTCAGATACGTCAACTGTGCCACTGAACTTGGTCTTGTATGCAAACTTTCTGATGGTGCATTCAATCCTGTTGTTTAAGCCACTGAAAAAAAAAAAAGAAAAATTAAACAGTACTGGACCCAAAACAGAAATCTAAGGGACAACACTTGTCACTGATCTCCATTTGGACGTTGAGCTCTTGGTCTCTGGATGCCATCATCCAGGAAATTTCTTACATACCTAACAGTCCATCCATCAGAAACTTTTCAAGTTAGAAAGAAGGATGTTGTAGGGGACCATGTCAGTGGCCTGCTTACAAAAGTCCAGATAGGTGCCATTTGTAGCCCTTCCCTTGTTCATGGATGGCATTACTCCACCGCAGAAAGCAATATCTCTCCATGCTGGAGAGATGTGCCCTAGATGAAGTGGTGCTGGCTGTCTTGAAATCCTTCACTGTCCTCATGTATAAATTGTATTTGGAGGCCAGTAGCTAGCAGGGTACCTGAAGGGTCAGTTCTTGGTCTAGTCCTGTTTATACCTTCAAAAATAAGCTGGATCATGGAGCAGAGTGTGCCCTCTGCAAAGGTACACAAAGCTGGGAAGAATGGCAGATACACCAGATGGTCATGTTGTCCTGGCGCATGGATTTTGTCTGGCTGGAGAAATAGACTGATAGGAGCTTCATAAATTTCAACAATGAGAAGTGTGCAGTCCTCCACCTGGGCAGTAGCAGTCCAGCGGTGTGTCATCGCAGTAAAGAATATAAATGGGATCCTGGGCTGCATTAGGCTAAAGATTGCCAACAGGTAGGAGGCAATCCTTCTCTAGTCAGCACTAGTCAGCACTAGTGAGGCCACATCTGAAGTCCTATGTCCAGTTCTGGGTTCCTCAGTATAAGAGAGACATGGATGTACTGGGGAGAGTTCAGTAATGGCCATCAGCAATGGAACTCTTGGGCAGCACCCTACCAACACCTCTCCCTCCCTGCGCAGTGAATTAGTTGGGACTACACTGTAACTGGCCTCCTGAACATGCCTATTTCCCTATCTGACTATTAAATTCAAAGGCAAATGAGGAAAGAAATTGAAGATGAGTGAAAGACACCAAGCTTTCACCACCAGTTTGCCTACTAGACTGAGAAATCACACTGGTTTTCAGGCCTCCTGTACTCAAGAGAGTATAGTGTTCCCAATGGAACTTCAGGCTTTAGACTTTGGAGTTTACATCAGTCAGAGATAAATGGCTATAGGTCTATTCCCTTAAGAATATGCTGCTATATAGAGCTCTGTATTTTCTATAAGATAAAGAGCAGAAGTAAGCAAATCTCCCTGTCACAAAGACAGGTTTCTTTGCGTACAGCATTCAGCTGGAAGCTGGCTGTGTGTTGGGTTTCAAGGTGGAGGAATGGTGGCTCCCTTAAAGACAAGCAGAAGGCGGAAGTGGAGGGTTGTGCCTGTTTCCAGACTCAAAGTGCCATCTAAATGGAATGGGCCAGTGCTTTGGGGATTACAACCATCAAATGCTGCTAGGCTCTGATGGCTCTTTCCTGGGGTGTGATGGAGGGAGTACCTCCCATGCCAAAGGATTTTGACAAGGAACTTAAGAAAGGAAAGTGAGTGAAAATAGCATGGTCTCCTGTGCTGCTACCCTACTATATGTGCTGCAGGTCAGGAGAGAGAAGAAAGGCTCTTACCATGGAGAGCTCAAGTCAACTGTCGGCTGCCCCAGTAGCATCTAAGAGGAAAGACTCTTTACTTGAGTCCCAGAGCTGCCAGGGCTTTCCAGAGCTAGTGACTCTAGGAAGGCAAGACAGCTGCTCTTGCTGCTTCTTTAGGTAACTGCCTAGGACTGGAAGGACAGGGAAATTTAGCACCCATCTCCAGCAGTTATTCTTTGTGGGAATTTCCTGTCCCATGACAGCAGTCACTGACCTTTGGGATACATCCTTTATCTGCCACATCCATATCCGCATTGAGGTGCTGTAGCAGGTACCAGCTGTAATTCACATCACTGTCAGAATTATAAACGCTAATAAAATTAGGCATTCTAATGATCCCTACACAGTCTTCTCACAGTCACATCAAGATGGCAAGAGGTTGGCTGAGAGAATAGGGAATTTGGGCACAGAGAGGTTTTAGCTCCAGATGGAGACTTTCTCAAAGGGCCATGGGGCTCTGCACAGCCCTGGTTTCTAGTCATGCTTGTCATCCCACCATTCCACCTCCTTGCTGCAGTAAGCAGCCTGTGTTTTCATGCCTCAGCTGACACAGAGGGGTGGCAGCTGGGAGTGGGAGGAAGAGGGCCAGGCAGATCCCTTTGCAGGCAGACCACTGACAGCATTGTCTGGAGAAGGAGGGTGGCATAAGTCCTGGAGTATTCCACAGATATTGTGGTATCCTGCAAAGACATGGAAATGGCAGCGAGCTCCCTTGCAGCAGGATGGTGCTGGTTTTGCAGGACTGCTGGGCCCAGACAGGCAGGCAGGTAGGCTGCAAACAAGGCAGCTGGAGAGCAGCCTGTCTTTGCTCTCACTTTCTGCAGCATGCATGCCCTTGCTGGCTGCTGCCCTGGGACTCTTGAGATCCTGCCAGGCTGCTGTTGGCTCCTCTCCCTCCCCAGGTAGTCTCTTGTGATCTTGGAGAAACCTTTTTCCTCATCATCACTGTGAGAAGTGAGTCTTTCGAGCAAGCTTACATGCTCTCCCCTGGCTGTAGAAGAACTGGAGGAGACCAGGTCTGGCCTGATGTTCTCCAGGACGTACCCAAGAGAAGAGTATCTGACAGAGCGTCTTATCTTCCTCTCAAATTTGATTTGATTTTATCTGCCCTGTGCAAATAATGTGCAAAATGTGTACTTCCTTCAATCCTCAATAGCACTTGCTAATCAAATATCAGTAATTGTGCTGGCAGGGGACAGAAGGCCGCAGGTCCCTGGCAGAAGCCGGGCCAGGCCATGGCTGCAACATCTTGCTGACACCAAGCCCTGCGCCCACCATCGGACTGCACCGAGCCGGGGCCTGCCGGGGCCTGCCGGGGCCTGCCCGGGCCCAGGAGTGGCTACGGGCCGGGCCAGGCCCAGTCCGCCGCGCCCCCTCCCAGCGGCTGCGGGGCAGAGGCAGGGGACCGGCGCGGCGTGAAATCCATCACCGTGAGTGGGTCAGTGTCCACGACTATCTGCAGGCCTGGGCGAGATGTTAACCCCTTCACTGCACTGATAAGACCAGCCGACCTTGATTCTCTCTAGGAAGAGAAGAAGACAGAGTGATGACATGTAGAAAACAACATGAAGACACCAAGGTCAGTAAAGAAGGGGTCAAGTCCCAGATGGAAGGAGAATGACGAGATGCCCTAGTATTGAGGCTGAAAGGTCCTTTTGTAGGGCCTTTTGTAGGAGATGGACTATGATACACTGAAATATCCCCTTTAATTCAGAAAGTATGGGGGATAGAGTGTTCAAACTGTGGATATGAGCAGAGGCATTCATGATGAAGCACAGTAGAGGCTGAGGGGTTGTGATCCCAGGAGAGCCTTGAACAGAGAGATAGATGAAGAGAACTTTTGCTTTTGAACAGCTCATCCTTAAAATAGTACCCCATAAGTTGACATGGCCTGTTACTTCAGCAGTGGGAAGGCTGTGAAAATGGGAGGGATTTCACAATTGCAGAACTTTTCCTGGGCAGCTGCTATTTGTGAAAATGAAAGGCCACAAGAAAATTGTTTCTTGTGGCGAAGTCTCCATGGCATGGCAAGAGAAAACTCCTCTCCCTACAAGAACTGATGAAAGACTATTGTAGAAGTGGTAACTGATTTAGAATCCCAGGTCTTGTTTCTATATTGTCATTTGGAGAAGAAAAGAAGTCAGGCAGGGGGAGAGAACACTTTCTCTCCCCCTGCCTGACTTCTTTTTATTCTTCTTATTCTTTTAGTTCTGTTAATAAAGTTTTTTACATACCTTTTAAGTTTTGAGCCTGTTTTGCCATCCTCCTAATTCATATCTCACAGCAGGAAATGAGTAAATAATTCTAGTAGGTGCACTGCCAATTTTAGCCAGCTCTAAACCCATCAAATTATTTGGTGCGTTGGCCATGAAACTCAAATTGGTGAATCTAAACCACTACAGTAGTATTACCCAACCTGGTAAAAACTTGAAGTTTATGGGTAGTTACCACAGCATTTATTTACCTTGATCTGAGTACCGGTCTGATATATAAAACTATTTTAGTGGCTGTAAAAACACAGAAATTGTTAAAGTACGTGCCAGTTTATTAATTTGGACAACACACAATTCATTAGCACTATTATATTTATACTGATATAACTTAAATTGAATCCTAATGTAGTGTTTCAATTGGTTCAATAGGCATTGTATCAGAACTGAAATCCTGTAGTGACAAAATTGGTGACCTCTATCAGTTTTAACAGGAAAAATTAGGTAGTGTCAGTGAAGTACTTGAAACACACTTAAAAACACTGGTGAAATAATCTCCCATAATCTCTCAGTCAAACTCCTCTTTAATCTGCTTATTATACTTCATCTTCTCGTTAGGCACAAGAGCAAATAAGTGAAGAAAAATGCTACATGCTTCAGCCAACATAAATGAGGAAAATACTTCCTGTGTTTCTGTTCTGACCTGACAGAGTCTGAAAAGAGTCTGGATTACTGATTGTTTGCTGTCTGGCTTTGCTCTATTAATATGTGCTTTGAGTTTTCTGTTAGTTGCTATGGAGGGTAATTTCTTTACCAAGAAAAAAAGACTCTCTTCTCATCCCTCTTTCACTTCCTCCCTCCCTTGCGCCACTCAGTGAACACTTAAAACATCGACTGTTGGGCTCCGTTATATTTCTCTGAAGCACTGCACTGAAAATAAATTAAATGTAGACTGAATGTGACTACTGACAGCAATTTTTATCTGGTGTCTGACTGATGAGACAAGTAATTGCCTCATGATTTAACCAACTATGGGGTTTGGAGTATAGAAATCATTTTTCTTTAGATCAAATTGGAACAAAAAATTATAATTCTTTTCTTTCTCCTCAGTAGTGTAAAACATGGTTTCCTGCTGAGGATTGTCTGGGAGGTTCACCGAAGTAGGACTCCATCTAGGAAGCTAGGAGATTTGTGAGACCTTCTGGCCTTTCTGCTCCTTTCCTATGTTTCTTTATACTTGTGTATTTTCTTCATTTGGCTTTGACTTTTCTGTAGGTTATTTAGAAGTGTTGTGAGTTCTGTGGTGACACACAGAATAGAAATCCTATAGCTGAGCCTTTTTTACAGTGTTTTTTTTTTTCATTTCAACAACTGGACTGAAATGGATTTATTATTGTTTTACTGACTTGCTGCAACCATGGACTCTAGGGCTATACCTAAAAGTATAACTGAATCTTGAGTTACTAATCTTAAATTTCCAGTAAGACTGTTAATTAATTTTGATTGTTGTAATTGCTTTGGAACAGCCCTTTGGTTAGGTGTACATAGCAAAGTATCTTATTACCAGGCCTGTGAGATTCGAGCTTTTTATTTGAGCTTTTTATTTTTTCTTTAATTTTATGAATTGAAGGATTTATTACTGCTGCTTGCTCAAAGGTTTCCTGTGATTCTTTCCTAACAGAATTTATTCCTTTTCAAAATTAAGGCTGCAGAAATGAGAGACATTCATTCCCTGACGGTCCTTCTCCTTTCTGTGTCTACCATGAAACAAGCTAGAACTATAGAGCGATTTAATGGCTAGTTACTAGGTAACTATCTGTTTTACCAACACCTTCAGTGGGCCAATATGAGGAAATCACTGCCTGTGTAGACATATGTTCTCTTATTTTGATTATAATTAATGATGATCTGGATTTCACTTATCTAAAAAAAGTTTCAGTGCAATAAGCGTAAATGATATCCCATTTCCACTTTGGTGTGGGTATAATCCAGTCCCTTGAGCTGACTGACTGAAAACCTTTGGAAGCTAAATAGCTGGTTCACTGCTCTTTTTTAAGTCTCAGGACTGTGATTACATTTACTCACCTCAGCTTACACCAAAGTTTCAGTCTGTATAAGAAGTTTATGTTCATACAGAACTCCCTAGCACTCGTTTTAAATATAATTCACAAATGTGTGATGAAGGATTTGTAAAGATGAAGGCAGTAGTGTGTTTAGGAACCAATTTTGCATTGCTGATAAAAACTTGATCTTTCTAAAATTACTGATAGTAGACACAAAGGAGTGAAACCAGAATCAAATTATGTTCATGGCTTTTTACAGGGCATTGTTTCATGTCTCTTTACCAGCGTAGTCAAAAGGCAAAGCTGAGTATAAGAATTTCTTGCAATATCTCCAGTTTCATTTAAAAAGCTCTAATACTCGCACATGACTGGGTATATGAGAAATCTTTTAAGTATGTTTCTTGTCCTCATAGAAGCATAAAACACCTAGAAGATTTCCAAATGTTTTTTAGAGTATTAAAAAAAAGAAAAAGGCAGGGGGGAACAGCTAAAAAGGATCATTTCCATCAATAACTTGAATCTAATTATTTTTAAGAATGTTCTATTTTTGAATGGCAATTATACCTAATCTTCATGGAGTGCAGTGTGATACACACCTCTGAAAAATCACAAAATACAAGAAAATATTCTGTATGAAAATGAAATTCTACATCCCCAAATTATCCACTGAGAAAAAGAAATTGTATTTTAAATATGATTTTGTTATCAAGCTGCCCTTTCAACCTTTTGGGTGAAGCTCTCTAGAAATAAACACAGGTGCTCTGGGTTTTTAACTGCAGCTGACTAGTCTTCACAATGCATCTTTTCAATGAAGGTGTCATTCAACCCTCTGTAGAACAGTGGTGAAGGGTAGTTTCACTTCTATTTCTGCTACTTCTGAAACACACTGCTTATGAAAGACGGGTTCTGGATGAGGTGAGGCACATGTACCATGTGTTTTGTACCTAAGGAAAAAGGACAAGGGCCCATGCAGCCTTGAGGAATACGAGATACCAGAAGCGTTTGACAGATCTATGAATTTTGACAGATGGCTTTTCCTTGACAGAAAGAGGGAAACAGGGAATGGTCAAGTTGGACAGATTATTTTTGGGAGTGGCAGGCAAAAAAGAGGGAGACAAACATGAAATAGTAGAATAAGCAGGTGCTGAGCCTCTGTTTTGTGGCAAAAATGTAACCTTTTTTATTGGTCCCTTTTTTGGCCAGTTATTTAGGTCAACTCTTTTTATTGTGTGCATCTACAGGTACAACATTTATTATAGTGGGGCTCAGATTTTGTTCTGCAGTAAGTATTCTCTGAAAAACTGCTCTCAGGTGCTTTTTGTCTCAGTATTTTCATCTCACATTATATATATGGAATACTTAAAATGTCTTTAAAGGCAGTGGCATTTGAAGGCCACCGCTCATCTTTCTGTGGTACAAAATTAATTGATGTGTGTGTGGCAAACAAGGAAACAAGGAAGTGTTGCTTACTCAGATTTTTATTCAAACAAATAAAACCCCTCTTGTCTTTCAAAAGAAAATATTCTGATGAATACCAGAGATCTTCAAGATTTCTATATTACCTAAAAGATGTTAAGAATTCTGAGTGATGTATGAGAATCCATGCAATGAAGAAGTGAGCAGCAAAAATGATGGTAGGTACTTTGTGCTTACCAAGCAATGCAATATCAATATGCATACAAAACTGATAAAAGGCATTTTATTTCCTCTTGAATGTCCAGTGCTTCTTTATCATATACAAGGTGGCACTTATGGACAGGTAATGCATGTATATTTTGTGTGACTTGTAGTGAGTGCACAGTAAAAATTTTATCTAAGTGAATAAGCTCTAAATAAGAAAAATTAAAATTAGTTGATCTAGTTCCCTAATATGGTAAAGCATCTCTCAACATATATTTCAAAATGTTTTAGTTTTTACAAAGCTCAGTCATTTTACTTGCTCAGAAACATGCATGAATTGTAACTCAGCCAGAGCTCCAAACTAAGGCCCAAACCCA